GCCACTCTGTGATCCCAGTCCCGGGCCGCTTAGCCATCCCAATCCGCCCCTGGGAAAGGGCTATTATATACATTCCTAAAAGCGAATATTTCCGGTGGCACCACACTATATATAAACTGTAAAACAATATCAAAATGTAGTTTTGATACATCCGTTCCACTGCGACTTTATATAGGCTGTGGTTGTCTTGTGATTTGCTAATTCGCATATTCACAACTGCTTTAATATAACCTACTCATCCCTGTAGTTTTTTTAAAAATTGATAAAAAAATCTCAGTCTTAGCGTTTGATATATTTAGTGTAGTGCGGTAATGACTTCCTAGCTGTGGTGTCACTAGAAATGAAAACTGCAGTAAATAAAATCCTTGATTTAGTTTGACGAGAGACAAACAAAATTACTCGTTACCTAATGATACATTGTATGAAAAGGACTGAAAAAAAGGGAAATTTTATTTCTCAAAGTCAACAATAGAACAAGTTCACTCTTTCTTATAAGAAGAAAAAATCGAAACGATGTGACTTACTAACTGTATACAATAGAACAAATTCACTATTAGTGGCTACTGTGTGAATAAAAAATCGAAACAATGTGACTTACTAATTGTAAACAATAGAATAAGTTCACTCTTAGTGGCTACTGTGTGAATAAAAAAATCGAAAAGATGTGACTTGCCATTTCGCCACATCCAATTAAGGAAGGCATTGATAGCACATTGAAAAATGTGAAAAAAATTAGAGATTGATATTGATTTGGCTGGCTTTGCCGTTTCTACTAAAAAAATATAATATTTTTATTTTTGTCACTCATCTCTATAAGTAAACTGTAGAGGTGGTTATGGGCAACAGTGGTTATTGGTGTATTTGTTACAAGGCATTATTTATATAGTTATGAAATAACAAGCGTGGCCTCTTATCTTAGGTACCAGATTGAAATTTTTTTAGGAGTATGGAGTTATGGGATAGATAATGTGTACAAGTTTTTCATAACTTCCTCAACCTGGTACAACCGTTCTTAAATTTCTTTTTCAAACATTTCAAAGAAAGGAATCAACCTAAGAGCCCTCCAAAGAAAACCAGACATCGTGCACTGGACGCCACATACCAGTCCTAATTTTGTAACTTTGACATCGTGTCGTTCCCGTAGAATTAAACGAGGAACCGTTTTGATGAACGTACACGAACAGATTCAATATTGCATTTTTGTTGAAATCAAAATAAAGACTCGAGATGACCTTACGTTAATGCTGACAGGAGTGTTGAGAGGCAGCACGAGCCCCGGGGTAAGCATCCGCGCCGGACCCTCTTTCTTTTTTAAGATTTATAAGAAGATCCTAAATTAGGACACCAACGAGCCCATAAACAACGAAAAACGATATAAGCAGACGTCTTTAGCTCACATTATAAGTGTAAAAACATGGTTTCATTCGTCCTAGTCCCTGAATAGTTGCCCCACCCCTATCGGCGGTCCTAAATGCTGGTAAATAAAGACTACTCCTAAACGTTCCATCAAGTCCGTTTCTTAGGGTTATGATAAAAAACAAAGAGGCTGTAACTATTCTTGTGGCAACAAGACAATCCCAACTTGATTTGTGCTATGCATCAGCTAAGACTCGAAAACTGTGTTCGAAATACAGGACTATCTTCAAATATTATCCAGCTACCTGGCAAAAATCTGAAGTCCAAGTTAGTTTTTCTGCTCTTAAACCTAATTACGATTGCAGCAAAAAATGCTGTTTGAAAATTAAGGTGTGTTTACGGATGGCGGTGTTTATTCTGATCAGTCTAAGGAGAGGTTTAAGGAAGAGGGCGTTGATTGTGATCAGCTTAGGTGTGGTTTAAATATGAGGACGTTGATTCTGATCGGTTTAAAGGGTGGGTGGTTTACAGACGAGGGCGTTGATATTGAATAGCTCAAGGTGTGGTTTACGGACGAGAGGTTTGTTACTGATTAGCTTAAGGTGTGGTTTACGAACGAGGGCGTTGATACTGCCTAGTTTAAGATGTGGTTTATGGATAACGGCGTTGATTCTGATCAGCTTAGGGGTGGTTTAAGTATTAGGGCGTTGATATTGCTTAACTTAAGGTGTGATTTACGGACAAGGGCGTTGATACTGATTACCTTATGGTGTGGTTTGAGAGTCCTTTACTACCTGTAACATGAGAGTTTTCGGCTTCCATGCCAAACACACACCAAAGATTCCTTTATTCGAATTATTGTTTTCTTTGACACTATATCATTTAACAACCTCACCGTATGAATATTTTTCTTCTGAAAGAGCAGTCATTAATATCTCCAAACGTCTATCTGGTTATGGAGGCAATATCCACGAAACTGCTCAGTGCGGAATGATTTGAGAACCATCAGGCATTAGCAGGAAACGGTAGTTAATTTGTATGTGTTTCCAAAGGTGTAATTGACTCATTATATTTTAATTTATAGTACTTTAGAACTAAAAAAAACAAAAAATATACTTCTAAGTCATTTTTCTCGCCATCGCCATCATGTTAACAACAGTGTTGGTTAAACCCACCTCTTACGATACTTGAGATCAAGAACCCTCATACAAAAAACATACGTTATTCACCAGCTTCTAGATGTTGCATTCAACTATCCTTAACGCATGGCATTGTGACATACATGTGTTGAATTACGCCACCACGCGGAAATAGTTGTTCTTTGTTTTGAAGCACAAAGCTACACAAAGGACTATCTGTGCTCTGCCCAATACCGGTATCGAAATCCGGTTTCTAGCATTATAATTCCGCAGACGTACCGCTTGTAACATGGAAATGGAGTTCCTTACAAATACATTCGTCCCTATGTATACAAATGTTCAGACAATAAACAATGTATATTAAAACGTGAAGTTTTGACGAATATAGAAGAATTTTAAATCGTTTAAGCTTTTGTTTCAAATTAGCATTTCTCCACATCTTTCTTCTATTTTACCGAAATACCTGAACTCTTCAAACTAATACAGTGTATGTTGATGAAAATGTACATCTTTAACACCAGGGGCGCTATAAGCAGAAATCTCGTAATTAGCGTAACTGAACATCTTTATTTTACTGAGTGAATCGATAGATCCTTAATTCTTTGACTCTCACTAGCTCTTGTTTTTCAAATTTACTACGTACATCAACCAACTGCAATGGAAACCATGTCGGATTTAGAACTTTAAAGTTACGAATCCGCGTATTATCTGGTTTTACTTGTTTATATTTTAAACTATAATTGTCTAAAATAACCAGAAGGTTTATGATGAGTAAAGACAAAAAAAGAGAGAGAGAGAATTCTTTCAACTTTTTCGGATGAAAAGTAAACGATACGATACACTTTAAAAAAGCTCATTTTTCCAACATTTCTCCAATGTTATTATAACATTAATAAAACTGTTATTAAATACACACTTTATGTTATATTAACATCAAAGTTTATTCGTCAATTGAGGGTCTTCCCATAATTACGTTTCTGTTCATTATTTCAAAGTCAATGCATTTTCACGTGTGTTTGTCTGTAATAGTAACCTTAACTTCGCATCAAGTTTGATAATCCATTTCCAGATTACGTTAGAGACAAGATAATCCATTTACAGATTACGTTAGAGACAAGATAATCCATTTACAGATTACGTTAGAGACAAGATAATCCATTTCCAGATTAT